GCACAAACAGCTGTTTAGGACGCAACTTGGCGAGGTGCTCACAATGGATCTTTTTTAATGTTGATCCCCTCAGTCTTCCATCAACAGTCAGCAAACAGTGTTGTATTACACAGAGCAAGATGGATTTATATGACTCAGTGAGTGCCTAGTTTTATACCTGGCTAATCCAATGTACCACAGTATCTAAACTGACAAGCATTGCATGGATACCTTAGGGTTCTAGTTGGGTTTGGTTTATTTTTAGATCACCATGTGTTTAGTTTTTTTCCCACAATGGTTTAAGTTGTGAAGATGCAAATCCTTGGCCTTGTACAAGTTGCATGTTATCCTGTTTTTTTTTTGTTTTTTTTTAGAAATTTAACCATTATTTTGTAAGTTTATTACTGAATTTTTCTTTTGAGTTTTAACAAAGTTTGTTGAAATTTATTGATATAATATATTTGTATATATGGATGTCTAGCTTTGCAATAAAGCAAATTAATAATTTTATTAAGTTTAAAAAATGAATTTTTCATGCCGGATGTTATGCAAATACATTGTGTTGACCTGCTGCCTCTGATCATGTGGTCCTTGAGAATAGCAGATTGCTCTGATATTATGTAGAACAGTGTCTTCGATATTTGGTAATTTTGTTTGGAAAATGTCAACAGTGTCATTTGTGGTTCCTACATAATATTTGCTACTGTACTTATGGAAACTGTTCAAGCTTTCCTAAATGTCAATAGATACACCCTTCCATGCCTTCACTTTTTTATATTTTTATCTAATTTTCAGTATTTTTTAGTATTTTTTGTGGGTATTTTAGCATTGCGTAGTACTTTTGTTCTTTTATGCGACAAGGGTGGAGGGGACTAATCAGTAACCAAAACTGACCAAACCAAATACAATATCTAGTTACAATTTCATAGAATAATACCACTTAAATGAAATGTTTTAATTAACAAAACCATATTGATAGTACTGTAATTAACATTAATTTTTCAGTAGAACATTATTAGATATAGAAATATATATCATTGGTAATGTACATTTAATTGTGTTGCAGTTTTAAACGATATTCAGCACAGGGAAAAAATTATTTTATAAAAAAAAGTACAAAACACTCATGATTAAAGTTTACCAAGACAACGTGTCCTTTCTGACAATATTTATTTTCTTTATTTGAACGTTTGTCTATTCCAAATAGCAGTGCTGTTTATACAACGAAAGGAAAAAAATTAAAGTGTCCTAATTTCGCGATCGAGCTGGCATTTTACACCAAAGGTCGACACTCTACGTTAACAACAATGTGGTCGATATGTGGCGCATACGACTTCACTTTTTCAATGTGCAAAACATTTGCTGACCAATCTCCACCTTTGATTTCAACACACATTTGATTTATTTGTCGAGAAACATCATGTGACCAAGTCTTCCATGCTTCTTGGCGCAAACATCTGTTATTTATTACCATATGAGAATGTTCGCATTTTGGAACATCTGAACTTTGATTTTCCACTTTATTTTCCTGTGTTTCTAATTCATCACTGTCCAAGCCACAAGACAGCAATGTTGGCACACTGTTCTCTAGCATGCTATTTGAATCGAAGTGACAATCAGAATGATCTCCAAAAAGTGGGCTGCTTACATTTCCATGGATGTGAAGTATACCTCCTGTGCTCTTTAGTGCTTGACATGCGACTGGCCATCCTGCTGATGACGTTGGGATCAGACCCAAGTTGACTCTATCTGCAACTCCGGTAGGGCAAATCTGTGACAATAAAAAAGAAAGCAGTTTTATAGGGGAAGTCCTGCGATAGTTACAACTATTATTTAATTAGAGGACTTGTCTAAATGAGGTTGAGCACTAGCCACATCCAAAAACATAACAAAAATTAAGAATGTTTACAATTTAAACACGAATAACACTGTACAGTAACAGAAAGAATGCAAGAACACTGTGGGTGTGCATTTACTGCTGAACAATAAGTCTTTCTGTCATGCAGTCACGTCACATAGAAAATAGATCACCATAAATATAGTATAGTAATAGGTTACATTTTTTTCTGCCAATATGCATGCTGCTTAAACACTCTTGTACATAGGCCTTTTACTTGCAATTGATGAACTAAACACACCTGCCTATTGTCTCCTTCATAAACAGCACACCTGTCCTGAACATTGTTCAACACCAAGTTCCTTTTCAAGGCATTAACAGCATGTGGGTTCCATTCACAGGCATGCAAGAATGCGGCATTGGCGTGCACTAGATATGGCAGCGTGAAGTATCCAATGCCTATTAAGAAATCAAGATGTTGGATGAGAATGAATGATTCAATGATGCAAATAATTAAATAGTGATGACAGCAACAAACATAGTGATCCTATTGGCATTGATGATTTGTTATCAGCCAAAATATCTGTCCATTATACTGATACCTGCATATAAGTCCACAACTGTCTCACCACTGCACTCCATCTTTGCTACTCTGATTTTTTCTGTGATATTCCCTGAGGAAAACATACATTTGGTGACATCATAACTGTACCTACAGAAAAAGAACAAGGAAATCATTTTTTTTTTAAATGCACTAGTTTTTGGTGCCATCTTGGTAATAATTATCCTTTAAAAATGTATCTGCTCCATAACATAAATCCCATTATGGGGCTTAGGAAGTGACTCACATGATTTTAACCTAGGAAATTAGGATTTCAAGTTGTAAGCCAAACATCTTAATCGCGAAACTGTAGTAAAGCTATCCTATTGCTACAGTTTTACACTGTGTAGCTTTCGTTGACACAATTGAAAAGGCTCCCTGATTCAACTGACCATTGTTTTCACCATGGAGGTATTATTGAGGAGATCACTCGGCAACAGTTCCCTTTGACGCGACAAACCCATGTGTTCCCCGCGCACGGGCGTATTACCCTATAATTCACATTTTTTCGTTGCATTTATACGCTTCCAGCAGAGCAGAGCAGTTGTGCAATAAAGCGTTTGATTTTAACCCATTATATACCTTTATAATGAACAGTGTTCCCCTGATTAGATTTTTTTGGACTTTTGGTATGTTATTACAGTATTTGTATATTTCAGGAACGGATTCCATAAAATATTTATGTTAAAATTACTTTTGTGTTCATTATAATTTTGTCTAACGATTGATTTGTTCGACTATAAAGCTAAGTCAGCGTAAAACTGAAAAATACTCAGATTTTGGATTGATTTTTCGATTAGTTAACCCTAAAATGACTTAGTTTATTATAATCCTCAATCATTTATTAATTAATATCTGTTAAAATTAGAATTAGTGAATTTTGGCCAATTTATGGAAATTGAAGTTGAACTATACTATACTTTTAAAGGTCATGTAAATGTTCCATTAAATTCGAAACTTTTTTTGGTGGAAAATATTAATATGTTTGATATTTTATGAGAGATAAATGTATCAGTTTCAAAATGGAAATGATTGCGCAGCCATAGTGATTGACTGTATGTAGTGCGCATCGAGAAAAGAAGGTGCTCTCCATTTCGCCATGTTCAATTTTTTGGTAAACTATGCCTGCTGAAAATTTGATGGCGGGGAACACATGGGACTTCAAAGGCATCGCGTAAACATCCTTCACGCGCTGCGGCAGCTTTGATCTTGGTTCATTTGCATAGCGCTGCGTGTGCGTAGCTTTTTCGAGTGATCTCCTTCTCAATAATACCTCCATGGTTTTCACTAAGTGTCCATAGTTTACAATTGCATGTAACGATTTTATGGAAAACAGGTATAGTCTCATTTCATCGAGGATGAGTTTGATTTGTACATGAAAAGGAGATTTGATTACCACTAAGCATATGCATGAGACTCAATCATCACTTTATAATCTTTAGCCCTGATTTTCACTAAAAAAAATTACCTGATACCATTATCAATATGTTCCACCCATCCACTGTTGCCTAGTAACAACCTAACATTTGGAGTTCTAAATCCATTTCTCTGAATGGCACCCATACTGTGTGCAAGACGCTTCACTCCAACAGCTGCTGCCACTTGCTGCCAATCCTCCACTGTCATCGCCTTCCAGATATCACCAGTAAGACATTGAGATGGCAGTAGAACCAAATCCCCATGTGTTTCCCAATTCTTAGGGAATTCCCCTGTAATTTTTTCATTGAGAGATATGTTGTGATTGGCTAAGATCTTTGATAAAACGTCTTCCAATCTCTGCACAGGAGAAAATATCTTTTTCTTAAAGTTCTTATGTGAAATTATCGAAATGTTAAATGGAATACCATCTAGTACTCCAGAGCAACTGCCTTCATCACATTGGCAGGATTCTATTGGTTGAACATCATCACAGTGACAGGTGTCTATTGGTTGAACATCATCATGACATTGGCAAGCTTCCATTGACTGACCATACTGGCATGTTTCTGTTGGTTTAATAGGGGTTGCTGATGTCCTTGGTACACTAGATTCATGAGACTTCAATGTTTTTCTGCAAGATATGCATGCACATTTCATGAGATTATCAGAAACATGAAGATGATCAGTACTGATATCAACAAGGTGTTTAAAAGTTTTGCCTCTCTGGATAGGTATGGCCACATCATCACCACACTTTATTGTCTTCTTAGTCTTGTCAATGACACCAAGCGAAGTTAGAGTGTTCCTGAAATAAACAAACAGAAACAAATTCACCAATTAAGTGAAAGCAACTTGAATCAAACACTTCATAACAAATATATTTTATTATTTATTTATTTACCTCATTAATTTTGCATTCCTTGGTTTTACCATCACACACAATACTGGAGCTAGATCCAAGACATCCATACCTGTATATTTATTCTATGAAAGCCAAAAACAAAATTTCAACATGAATTATGACAAGTTTTACATTATATAGTATAGGAGAAGAGATAAAGTAGGAGAGGTCCCAGCTTGGCCTAGACCCTAAAAATTACAGCAAAACACAGGCGACATTAATAGGGCAAGGAGGGGGAAGGGTAGCACCTCCCCGGATCTACTTACTCTACTGTAAAGGCCTAGGTATAATAAGGTAGACTAGCCAAGCTAGGGCCTAGAGAAAAGTTTTAGCCTACAACAATATCGACAGCTAGTGATAACATCTATCTTGTTTATGAATAATATTATATGCAATGGCTACAGTTACACCAGTAGTTTGCTTACCAATTTGGCCTGGAATTGTTCCGTATTAGGAAGACTAGGACAGTAGACTTTCGAGTCCCACGTTACATCTATCGGCGGAACCTCTGAATAAATGAAAAACTGTGTCTGACTTTTGCACGTTGTTGTTGTTGTTACTGATAAAGGTGGGCGTGACAATTAATTAAACGAGTTTGTCGCCCCCTATAATGACCTGCCTTCCCAAAAAATAATATATAAAGTGTGAAAAACAATGGCAGGGCCAGTAGCCGAGGTCAATGAATTCGCACCCGATATGACCGGTCTGTCGGAAGCGGAAAAATCACATTTGATAGGAGTGCTACGTAAAGCCAAGGTAATCTAAATGGCATGTGCCAATTATAGGATATATAGTAGGCCTACTATTATTAACTCAGGCCATGCATGGTGTGGTGGTGTATGAAATGTCCCACATCACATGCACAGTCACAGGCTCCGACTAGGACTAGGCTTAAGCCTAGTATTTATTGATGGTGGCCTAGGCTTAGTTAGAGTATATGAAATTCGTCTAGACTTAGCCTAGGGCCTAGGCCTACTTCCCAGTTTATAATGCCCCATGTACAATAATAAGCACCTTGCCAAGGGCTTCCCTTTTTTAACTTTTACCCAGTACTACTACTGTACTACTAGGCCTAGTAAGAAAGCTTTGTTCTTGGACCCTGCTGCTGGCCTCTGGGGAAATTTGACCCTTTGTTGCAGAATTTAAGTTTAAGGGGAAAAATTTAAGTTTAAGGGGAAAAGTATAAGTTTAAGGGGAAAAATTTGGCAAAGTATTGCACACAAAAAAAAGCAACATGTTAGGCCCTATGAGCAATACATACAACGGTCCATTTTTAAATTTTAGGACAATCTGCAGTATTTCATTTTTTTTTAAATAAAATAACAGGTTTTTATAACAACTTATTTTGTCATATTTTTACTGTATCTGTGCTTTTATGTAAAGGACCACAGTGGAAATATTGCCAATTTTGGTACTTTATTGTGTTGTTTATCCTTTGAATATGATTTTTCTTGTCATCTTTTTTTTATGTTCATATTCAGAATAAAGAAATAAAAAAAACACACTAGTTAATAGTTCAGTGATAGTTGTGGAGCACAGGGGGCATGTTCATGTACAGCAATCGTAAATCATTTTAAGCTTTTTTGGAGGAAAACTTTTGCCCATAAGATTTCTTAATAGAAAAAACTTTTTTTTTAACACATTGTATGGGAGCCTTTTCTATCTGATGCCCCAGCCCCAGTCCCTCTCTCCCCATTCCCCCACCAATTGCACTGCCACTGCTATAAATGTTTGTCAGAAAAATTATTAATAAAGGAATAATGTACAGTAACTGTGCATATTCATGTTAATCATTCCACAACGTGTTGTCGCCTGAGATTACAGCATTTCTCAAGCAAAAATTCAAACTGTTATTTTTGGCTGGCAGTTCATCAAATTCCTTTTTATAATTTTTACTCTAGTCATGTTGATTAAAGTTGAAGCAGTATAGTGTAGTTAGTAATATATTTAAAGTATTGGAATATTATGATATCATTATGGGTAAAATTATTATAAAATAATAAATAATAATAATAATAATCATACTAATAGTGTAATTTTATAATGCACATCCATCTCTGGGTGGCTGCTCAATCATGATGCCATTTCTACCTGCAGAGAGCTGCAAACAAAGCTGTATATTCCTTTATTAAATTATTTTATTTTATTAACTTTTTTACTTTTTTAAATTGAATTAAATTATTTATTGAAGAATGCATTAAATAAAACAAAAATTATGTTTCTAATTTAACAACCTCTGTGTTGACGACTTATGCAAGTGTTTTTCTATACTGTACAGTAGCTTGTTTAGCAAACCCGCCACCCAACAATAATGATGATTAAATAAAAATTTCATTTTTGGCCAATTAGCTCACCTGCCACCACGAAAAGGAAATTTCAGAAAAAAATAAAAGTTTTTTTTAAATTTTTGTTTGCCTGCCGCTGCTTTGAAATCTCCATATAAATAAGATATTTACTGTATTTCTTCCTAATTAGTTTCTCATCCCTCGCGCATCCATTCTCTCTGCCTCACCAATTTTCTTTTTATTTTTTATTTCCTTTACTTTGCAAATGTATGAAAATCTGGCTAACTCACATCAGTAAAATTCCTCTCGATCATTTGTGGTTGGGGTTACATATATGCTATGAATCATGTCTAGTGCTTCTTTTATTTGCTTTCAATGTGTCTACTTGGTAAAAGGGAGAAAGTAGTAGCTGTTTCTCATCGACCATCTTGGATTTGGAGTTAAAAAAATAAAAAATAGTGTCCTCATTCTCCTTTTTTCCAAATATTATGACTAGAAACTACTTTTTTTTTTATTGGCCTTATATAAGTTTAAAGCATTTAACCATCCCATTACTACACTGTTAACATTAAAAAATAAAGTGTTATTATTTTTATTTTCTCCTACGTCTAGATGTTTTTGGCAAAACCATTTGCTAAAATAAGAAAATAAAATTTTTATTTTTTTCTGCCCTCCTCTGACAGTCTTTAAAAAAATAAGTTCACAAATAAAAAAAGTCTTGCCATACAAATGACAGAAACAAAGATGTCATCATAATTGCAATGGAATATTTAGCATGATATTAGAAAAAGTAATTGTAATTATAATACAGTTGCATGGGTGATTTAATAATTATAGCAATATATGCAAAAGAAAGTCAATTTGGTATATTGTATTATTTGAATTTTATGATAGTTTGATGATATTATGATAATTGGCAAGCAAGTATTCTTAATATTATAAAATGTGGCTAATTTTTATATTTGGCCTATTAACGTATTATTTATTTATATTTTAAATTTGTACACCAGTAATTACTATTTTATTATTACACATCTTTGTACAGTATATCTGACTGTAATAATTTCAGCTCTGAGATATTAGTTGTTTTAACAGGTTTGACTCTGTGTACACCAATTAGCATATCCTGTTTATATAAATACATATCTTGATGTAATTAATGAACGAAAGTGGTAAACTATAACCCCCATTTGACTTGTATTTATCACCAATTAGTTCTTTTGCATAACATCGGTTTGCCGTCATGTAGTGCATTGGATGTTGATGTTGGCAAGATAAGTCAATATTCCACACTTTGACAGTACACACAATATATGGTATTGATCATTCATTACGCTTCAATTGCAGTCTTTAATCCAATTATTCAGGCAGTCAACTTTGACAGGACAGTATTTGTTATTATTCTGAATATTCCAATTAGTACAGTATGATACTGTATTCTAACAATATACCTCTCAGCTACATTCATGGTAAATAAAAAGATGAATATTTTCTCAAGGACTACAGTTTGATGTTATGCACTCTATAATGTTATAAAAATGTACGCATATTGCAGAAAATTCAAAAATTGAGTAGGTCAGTAGGAAAACTTTTCTTTTTTTTTACAACCAAATATGTGTTTATGCCTAAAAAGTAGAAAATACACAAATAATACAACTAGCCTTGGCCCTCTAACCTCGCCAAGGCTATTCCAGCCTTATTTGCTCATAAAAAAAATATAGTTGTCAAAAAAAAAAACTAAAATGCCAACCCTTAATTTTGTAAAATTTGGGTCGGTCGGGCGTGGCCAACACAATAATTTTTTTTTTGGCCTTGTCTGCATATTTAAAAAAATTTTAAAATCTAATATGCTGAAACTAACAGGAATTGCAACTCTAATTTATGATTTCATATTTTTCCAGTTACCACTTCCAACATTTTTATATTAATTGATCAAATAATAAAAATGATTTTTATTTATTTATTGTTTTAATAATATTTCATAATAAAAAGTTAGTAAATAAATTATACTGTATGGTACATTCATTAAAGCAAAGAAGTGGTTTAAATACAGTAATTTACCATACAGATGCTTACTTACATAGATTACAGACATCTAAATTTAAAGCACATTTCTTCTGGTAATACTCATGATATTTGTTCCAACGGCGTATTTCAATATTAGTTTGACTACCAGTATTGCTATCCAGCCTTGTAACTCTTCCTATAGGAAACATATTTATCAAGGGGATTAATCCCAGACAGAATGTGAATGTCAATTAATGTCTGTAAGTTGGATGTCTACTGTAAACATTCTGTATATTGAAGGCTGCTTTAAATCTTCATTGAGGCTGTCTTCAATACTGTTGAATTTGTTTTAATAGTTTGTTGGTTTATTATCACATGCTTATTGAAGTGTGTACTTCAAATTGGGACAATTGTAGTGTACTGTACAGTAGTCCTAGTCCATGCTGTAGCAGACATTACAGTATGTCCATGTAGGATAGTCCAAGGAGGTATAACAATTATTATACCTCCTTGGATAGTCCAACTCCCTAAAAAGACTCTGTACTAAAGGTCAATTGTATACTTAACTGGAATTTGCCAATGTAAACTATCTACCATAAATTTGATACAAGGTATAAATTGAATGTAAGTTAAACATTTTTGTCATATTACGTTAAAAATATGCAGTGAAATCTATTCAAAAATTGAATTGTGTAACACAATAGAGAGTTGAATAGATAGTTTTACCAAGTGTTTCAATTAAGCAATTCATGATTTTATAATTTTCAGCTTATCACAGAGAGTAATTCTTGAAAAATGAAAGAAATTGTTTTTTTTTTTTTTGTTTTTTTTTTAGGAAATGGAAGACGAAGCAATTTTAAAGTAAGTATTACAGTTTATCTTATAATGCTTATACAAACACTCACAACTATAATTCCACTGCCTTTTGTTACATCTTCCCTCCCAACAGTCTTGGATGTGCCACTGATTTCAAAGTAAAAATCAATAAAATATACATCAGCCAGGTTTGGTTCAGAATCTGTGGCACCCACTCATGATTGTGTATCGCGACTTGAGTTTTCTGAAAATGTGTGTTTTACATGCCAGGATGTCAGTTAGTGAAATCCAATCAAAGGCTGATAAACACATGAAGACACACTGTAGATATTGATTTTGAAATATCCCTGTAATTAAAGATTACACTAATGAAAGACCACCTTTCTCGGCTGTCCCGAGGCAAAACAACATAATTGACATTTTTGTCAATTTTGAGATAATATCATTTGGGAGTATATCAAACACTTCTGAATTACTTGTGAAAATTTCAGGTCTCAACAGTGAGTCGTTTCAGAGATAGCACAACCTATCTTTAAGCACAAAACTTAAAATCTAGTGATTTTCTGTGGTAAAACAACGTAACTGCAAGATTACGGCGAAGTTACGCTGTTTTGCCTCGGATGCTGTACATATATTACATGTACTTGGTCTTTCTTTTATTAATGATTAATATTATTATATACTGAACACTTAAGCCAAATCAATTTCATTGTATGTTATTTATACTTTGATAATAAAATGGCATGACAGTATATTGCCAAGTTGCAAACATACAAACTTTACTTCTATTTTTCTTGAAAAGTGAAGAGTTCAAGTTACGTTGTTTTGCCAGGGAACGACCGTTTTGTGGTCCCAAATGAGAGTTTGTCTTTTATTTTTATAAGAAAAACTTTTCTAAATAAAGACCAAGTATTCTTAAATTGGATGGAGACCTCTATTGGGTTGTAATTCTAAGAAGATTGTTTTAAAACATTGTTTCATGAAATGTCAGCCTATAAATTATAATAGTAATACCCGTTTATATCATTATTTTCTTTTGCAGTCAGCCCTTCGAGGGAAGTCTTAGTAAATATACAAATGTTATGAAAGGTTTTCAGTTTCGTTGGTTCGTTTTAGACCCAATTACTGGTCAGCTTAATTATTATGTGGTAAGTGTCACAAATTTAGAATTTTTGTTTGTAAAAAAGTCGCTGGAAACTCACAACTCATGGACAACCTAATTCTTCCATAAAAAAAATTTATTCGGTGTAAACACCAAGGATAGCCCACAAAAGTCTAGAAGTCTGTGGGGTCCTTCTGGTGGTGATTGGGCAGTACACCGGGAGACAATCCCCTACTCTTTTTCGAAGAGTGTACTGCGTTCTCTAACGTGCACATGGGCCATAAATGCACACAGGACCAACGGCTTAAACGTTTCATCCAAAAGAGGGTGCGCTATTGCAACTTGTATTTCAGTCCTCCAGCTGAAACACAAGGAGAGGCAGTGATAGGAATTGAACCGGGGGACTTAAAGATCTCCACGGTTCAGCACACACACAGTGGCTACCACCAGATTAGCCGGCTGATTTAAGCTGCTCTCTTCTAAAATGCATATGAAAATATCACCTGTAATGTTTGCTAACTTTTATTTCTGTGTGTAAATGCATGTACACATCATATATCCTTTGTGTTCCTTGCATATTTATATATCACTTTTTAGAGCTACAGTATTTTTGTTTCATATTCTTGTTTTTGTAATTGCCTCAGTGGAGTAATGTCACTACATGCTGCATACTGTAGTTTGCTTTGGCTCTTACTTTTTCTTCTCTAAAACAATTACTGAGAACAATACAATACATGTACCAATGATTTTTCTTATGTTAATAATAATAATAATAGTAATAATAATAATAATAAGAATAAGAATAATAAAAATAATCGTAATTGTAATTCAATTTATTTTATCGATGGTAGTCATTGTATTTTACTTGTATATTGTTATATTTTCTATAGTGACTGTTTTGTATGTTTTTATATTTGTTTTACATTTTTTAATATAATACTGTATGTGATGACGAGCAGAAGAATTTCTCTTGTGGAACAATAAAGTTATCTTATCTTATCTTATCTTGTATCGTAAGGTGTACGAAGTCAGATGTACTTCCAAGGATTATCATTTTCAATTCATTTACAAATAAACAGGGAAACAAGTCAAGAATACACAATGCAGATAGTGCAAGTACTGTATAAAAATTGTCTAATGATAGAAGTACTAAAAACCCTTGTAAATTTAATAATTGTGTCAGTTATTGTTATGCTGCTGTCACAAATGCCATGATTTGTGAACCTACAGTATGTTTCCATGTCAGCTTTTAAACTTTTTGTGTATGTAAAGATAAATAATAAGTAGCTAATCAAAATATTAGGAAAATGCTGGTAGCACAAAGTGAACTAGATTGATAATTAAACAAACCTCAGCAATTGTGTTTTGGTGCATCTCAAATTATAAATAATATTATATATTTATTATTAAATTTTTATAACTTTGTCTTCCTAGTGAATGACATTTGATTTTGATTTTTTAAAAATTTTTTATTGTGAATTTTTATGCATTTAGTGATTTCATAATTTTTTTATCACCAATTTTGTTTCTTGTTTTTGAATCTTGTATATCTTTTATTTCCCCCTCTCACCTCCCTTGTCATGATTTTGGATAGTTTATTTTTACCTTGTTGAAAGCTAAATAAATTAAATGAAATCAAAGGTAAATTCAGTTTATCTAAGTTACCCTAAATTTATCAAATATTTTTTTTTCTTTTTTTTCGTTATACCGTTAGTTTTATTAATTTTGACTAAAGTAGTTACATAATTCCCTAAGGTAGGATAATTCCTTAATCAGTTAATCTCTTAATATAAGTTAATCCCTTGAGCTAGAATAACCCTTAAGATAGGATAATTCCTTGAGATATGTCTAATTCCTTGGATATATAATCCATTGAGATATGATAATTCCTACAGATAATACCTGGAGGTGGAATATGAGGTATTTTAAAAATAAATTTAATCATTTAAACTTTCGACTGCAGATTAATAGCAGTGATAGACACATCCGAGACATTTTGCAGCAAAATAATTAAAATTTGAATCACTGTGTCTGACGGTCATTGATATTACCTCGCTTCTTAATCATGAGTCGCTGCACATGGTTTTAGATGTCGGTATTGATTCATTTGTCATTGACGTCAGAAGATGATGCTAAAGTAGTATATTGCATTAGGCTTGTGTAGTTGGTCATACGATCTCTTGTGAACATCAGCCACGTTTCTCCTTGTCGCATTTTTGAAGGCAAACTAATTATTCCCATTGCAGTGTAAGTGTTAATGTTTTATTCATTTGTGAGCTAGGTTTTGTATTATTGCTTTGAAATTTTATTATCTTAAATATCATAATGTACATTGAATATACTGTACCTAATTATAAACAGACTATATGATAATTTAAAATCACTAGATATATAGTATTGTAATATGTCTGTTTTATACTGTATACTAGTAGCAGATCATGTCAAGGCTTTAACAGAAGCATTAGATTTTTTATTAATCATATTTCATCATATAATCACATTGAAATTAAAATATTACAATAACTATTAAATATTTTGCCTACTATTTCTTTCACATTAATAAACAATTCATCCTATGGATACAAGTTTAAAAAACGTGAGCTCAATAAACTATTAAATTGACTATTTAAGTTATTAAAAGAATGTACTTCAAATATTTTATATAGATCCATATGAATTTTTTAATGATATTAATTTACTGTACTAACACTAACAGTGTCATGTAGTGGTAGTCCATTATGTATGCGCAAGTGTAACAACAGTTAATGAAAAAGAAGCATTAGAAATAAATGTATAGTACACATTATACCTGTAAATGTACATGAGTGTTGCTGCTATAGTGTCATGAAAGTTCTCCGACATTGTAATTTAAAGACTGTCTCGGGTAACAATCAATATTGTGAAGAAACTAGGCTACTGATCAATATGTTCTGGAAACATTACTATGGTCCACATAGTCTGAAAATATACCATACCTTTTCTTTACTTGAACATGGTGCTTAGAGACCTTGTTTATTTGCGCCTTTATTATTATTATTATTATTAAATATTATTTTTATTATTATTATTATTATTGTTATTATTATTATTATTATTATTTAGTACATAATAAAAATAAAAATGATAAAACAGCATTTATAATGCCTTTTCTTTACTTGAAGATAATGCTTAGAGACCTTGTTTATTTGTGCCTTTTTTTTAATTATTATTATTATTATTATTATTATTATCATTATTATTATTATGCAGTACATAATAATAATAAAAATAATAAAACAGCATTTATAATGCGCCGTCTATTCGAGGTGTAGTGACTCTTGACGAAAATAAAAAGGATTTACTAATTTTTTATGTTTTTATATTGAATAGTTAAAAATCCAATACACAGAGGCAAAATTTTGAAATTACCAAGCGAAAAGTATTGAGTTTAATAAAGTTATATTTGCATTTATAAATAAATATATTTACTAACAAAATATTTAATTGAAATGATATACTTACTTTCCCATTTATCTCTATTTTACATGCCAGTATTGTCTATTAACTTTTGAGGTGTGATAGAATAATCATTTAGTGACCTGTTTTTCTCACCCAATGTGGCCCTATGATGCATAACATCATAACATCTAAATGTACAGTAATAGTATTAGTAAATTTCTTATGCCCTGATTTCCTTGGGGTTTTTGATCAATTTTGATTGGCACTATAAGTATCTGTTATCATTATAATTTTGTACTTCTATACCTCATTTTTGTTCTGGTTACAAGTTTCAATGTTTCTAAATAGGTGATCATCAAAATGATAATTTTGAAGGAATTTTCACCTGAAATGCAAGGGTAGTGTAAGAGATTTCACAATAGGGAAACCAGTGCACCATTTGTAGTAACCTATTCCCATACATGCTGAAACTGTAATGTCTTGGAACCATTCTTCAAATATCTTAAGTAGTACATGTAAGGATCAGGCTTTTTTTCCTTTTTGATTGACAGAGTGAAGAAGCGAGAAAAAGCAATCGACCGAGAGGATCCGTGACTTTAGCAGTAAGTGACTTTGGCTTAATATTTAGCTCAACATGACAGAAAGTCATCCTTTTGGAAAATTGCCCACAGTCAGCAATCATGAATAAACATGAGATTATTTTCATGATATAATTTTAATTCTCCTTTATTGCAAACACTTATTCAAATTATTTTGAAATAGAATACTTGATAACGTGTAAGTGTGATTAATTATTACTTCATTAGTACAAAATACTTTTAGAAAGACTGTAACAGTAGCCAACCTTATATTGATAATATCATCATCATTATTGCTAATGTTATTATATAGTAATAGGTATTATTTTTAGCAGCATCTTTATTATAAAATTGTCAATTTAGGGTGCAGTAGTTTCTCCCACGGATGAAGATTCACAGACATTTAACGTGAATGCAACGAATGGTGAGGTATTTAGGCTTCGAGCACAAGACGCTAAGGAACGCCAGCATTGGGTCAGTCGATTACGAGCAGTTGTACAGAAATTTAATGAATCTTTATCAAAAGTGAGTACCTCAGTAATTGTCACTAGATTTCTAGTATGTACCTATAAATATTTTATTCAAAAAACATTTCTACTCCAGTAGTAATTACTTTGCTTCAATTACCTTATCATTTTGATGTGGAATTAAGCAGTTAATGATGTCTCAAGTACAATTTAAAAAGGTTTTCCTGAATTTACTGGTTCTGCCACCATAATAAGCATTTTCTTTGATTTTCAGAATTTAAGACAATCAACAATTTCCCCAGAGCAAATATCCACAGAGTTGCCGCATTCTCACGTGCAACATCTGAATGTAGGTGAATCACCGAACAGTACACTAAGTTACTCAACTCAGGTCCGCACCAAACGATCGTATTCATCTCCCGCCACAAGAGAGTCTATTCACAATGCAGAACAACTTATAGATCAGGCACAAACTCAAAAACATAAACTTGTAGCAAATATTGAGGTATGCACCCTTTGTAATATATGCACCTTCATTCAATTTTATAGAATCACTTTATAGAGTACGGTATTTATCAAGTCTCAATATTCTTTCCATCCTTGATAGCGCCTTCAGAACTACTGAAGTGGGTATGAGCGCTTGTTTTTTGAAAGGCTATATTCAGTAGCCTAATAAGCAACTTAATCCATTATATTCGATTAGCACACTTTTATGTATTACAATAATTTTGTATTTTGATGTTGTAATTTTTGTTTCCTGGTTGGTTTTTGTTTTCTTTTATTTTCTGTAATTAATTTTATTGTTTGTTAACATTAGTTAAGTTTGATTATTATGTCTGTTACAACATTGATGAAAACACCATTGAGGTGATCGATTGTTTACCGTGGTTAAATAAAATTCTTATTATTATAATTATTATTATTATTATTAATGATGATGATAATAATACTATCTTATTATGAAATATAATATAATAGGCTTGGCTTTTAGTTTATTCACAATTTAATACCAAATTTCTTTGCAGAGATTACCTCAGTCTGGAACCTCTATTACTGCATTGGAAGAGGTAAGTGCAATATTTCTACGAGGTTGTTTGTTTATGTATTGATTGATTGATTTACTGATTGGTTCCCAAATGCTACCTGTAATTCCACCTATTGTTTAAGTGTTTTAAGGAAATTGTGTGCTCTTCCTCAGGAATGTTTGTTATTAAAAGCGACATCACAGTCTACAGTCTCATGCCTTGAAGATTGTTTGAACATGTTACAAGAGCAAGACCATACACATTTTCCTCAAAGTAACTCAGATTTGGAAATATCAAAATCAATGGCAAGCATAAGGTAGGTTATGTTTTCTATCTTGACTTTGTCTTGAAGTTGACTTTTTGTCCTGCCATCTTTTGCTGTGAATGACAGAAATTAATTTATGTACACATCCACTGTTGTCTAACACTTCACAATTTTGAGTATATTTTTTATTAACTACCTTTGCCTCTCCGAAGGAGAGGTGAAGGGTATTGTTATAGTGCATGTTTGTGTGTTCTGGGTGCTTAACTCAAAAACTACTGGACCGATTTATTTCAAGTTGTCACACATTGACATTGTTACATGTATCTCGTTCCTCCTCAAATTTGATGCTGATCGAAAGTAGGGTGTAAATTTTAGAATGCTTCAAATATTTGCCGGGCGCATATCTTACAATCTACTGTCCCAATTTTACTTCAAATTAGGTCTACAAAGTACATGTGAATAATAATAATAACTAGAAATTGCAAATTGCAAGTGAATTGCTGCGAAGTACAACTGCATATAAATGTTCTTCGAACAAAATTATTTATGCGAGTCAAGTGAAAATAATGAATAATAAAAATATAACAAATACTATGAGACACAACCCATTGCCTATATTGGAACACTTCTCATTGGGTAACAAAGTCGTAATTTTTCATTTTTGTCAAAAAGTGTCTATAGTGGTGAATTATGGTTTAGGATTTTTTTAATAAAGTTTCAAAAAATTCTAAAATGTAGTTGATTACCAAAGGTTACAATTTTTATTTTGAAGACTGCATGGTCTAAGAAGTGTACATTTTTTTATGGGGCAAGTTTCCAAGGGCGGGTTTTCTAGGGGCGAGTTGACTGCCAAAGAGTGTTGCCAAATTGCGAGCCAGCGTGTTATTTGATCACAAGTGCGAGACATCGCAAGTGTGAGCCAGCGAGCCATGTCGTCACGACAATAGATACAAGACGTTACTCGAGTTGTGCAGGTATCGGTTGAGATTTGTGGAGTACAATTCAAAAAACAACTATAGGTCTAATAATGAATTATTGTGATGTGATGTGATGAGCGACGTTGTTTTTCATTGGGACATTCGTCCCTTTAAGGCTAGGCCTACTGTATACCATCATAGCTAGTCTAGGCCTAGAGTAGGATAAGGCTAGCGCGACATGCAGACGTTGGTACGTGTTGGTTAGTCTACAAACGTCGCCTAAAGTAATTGATTTTACCCGGCAGAACGAAAGAAGGAAACTCCGCTTTTCAGTCGTCTTAGGCCCTTGTTTTTTGACAAACAATGACCTTTCAGAGGTCAAATTGCTGTCAAGAATATGAATTGGCTGCTTCGCAGCAATAATAAATAAAAAATTACTATTCTATAAATGCACAAATAAACTAGTTAATTAAAAGTAAATTAAAAGTGGAATTAAAGAGAAGAAAGAGATTTGAACCTCACACAGTCAAGTAACTTTTCACATAATACATGATCTTTTACCGCTCAGCTACACTTCACCTGGTAAGTCTGCGTATATACAGTAACAATGACAATTTTACATGTATTTGCCGCATATTTATTGCTAATCGGAATTAGAATGCAATTTTAAAAATTTTTTAAGGATGTTTCATTATTTTGGAAAAAAGGCTGCAATTATAAATGCTATTATTTTGTCAGTACATAGATATGTCACAACAGGCTGAGGGTTTGTAATCTCAGATTATCTTGTTAGTCCTGCATTAACGTTGTTATAATTCATAGTTAATGAAACCAATGCATATTTATTTAGTTTCTTTTGTACACAATGAGAACCATACTTGTCCCAAGCAAACCCTTAAAGAATTGTGTGCCAGTACCAGTGCTGAAACCAAGCTACATGTAATGGGGGAATTTGCCACTGTTCCATGTTTGCTTTTCTTATCTGTTAAATATATTTTGTTTTTAAACTGGTTCACATGACCCCCTTGACCATTTGTCACACTCATTGAACATAAAACTCTCTAGTAGTCTACATTTTGTTGTCATTGTAAATTCAACTCAATTTAATGAAAACATTTATTTATTTCTCTTAATTTTCCTCATAAAGTACAAATGAAAATAGAACTTATAAACAGGAGCAAACCCCAAAATGCCAGGCTGTTTATCTCCAATTAGTTCTTCTGGGTTCACTAAATGAAGAAGAGATCAATTTTTCCAGTCCACCGCTTTCAATGACATCATCACTTTTTGTGTGGCTTCCAATATGACATGCCAGACTGCACAATGTCCGGCTCAGCTGAAGCAACCAAGACTCGGTTGACTTAACAGAAATATTTGTACTATGATCATCACTAAGAATTCTATTCATGTTTATCAATTCCATTGTTTGTTAAATTCATATGAGTCTTTTCTGTTTTTCTTTTAGTGTTGATATTAAATCCAGTCTACCGGAACTCACAAGTCATAATTTCCAATCCTCTACACCCTTGAACAAAATGCCTCATATAGTACCAGGTAAGTGACCAGTTTATGATACTCTAATTATTATGTTGTCTATTTACCAACTTACTTCATTTCATGGGTTATAGCTATTGTTTTGTTGTGATGTTTGAAGTCACATTTCAAATTGAGTGTTTTTGCTTGTTACATAGCTTTCATTGTCAGTTAGGCTTTTTTTATCAGCGAACTAATGACTTTATTTACATCCATTCCTGGTGGGCTGTCATGTAGTTGCAGATCATTGAAAGTTGCCAACAGTCGTATCTGTCGATGACAGTCTAAAAAAGCAATGAAATCGAATCAGTGAACTTTTATTTTATATGAAATCAAAGTAGATTTTTCAAGGTTAGCATTATTTGAAAGGTATTTAACACAGTTAGCAGTGTGGTGTTTCTTTTCTTGTAGCTTTAGGTTCATGGTAATTTTTTGTTCCTTCCTGTTGCGCCTTGAGCACTACTGCGGTGGATTTGTGCGCTTTATAAATCTTATTATTATTATTTATTATTATACAAATAGTCATTATTACTATTGTCAGGCTGTTGTTATTATTATTATTTTAATTATTCCTATATAAGTAAATAGAACACAGACTTTCAACTAAGTGGTCATGGGTTCGTGTCACATTGCTTGTGTCTGTAAGAAAGGCACCATATCTACAAATGCCTTTGTTCATCTAGGAGTACGAATAAACTGGAAACCCAAATAACTAGGAATACTATCAAGGGAGCGGAGGGGTTGTCTATCTTCACCTTATATCCCTTCGCAAAAGGTGCGGTATAAATTCCTATACTGTATTATTATTGATTCTATATCCATTCACCAAAATAAAAAACATCATGGGCCGTTCAATTTCAAATGTGTGTGGCTGTATAAATATTATATAAAATAAAATAAATTTTAAAAGAATTTCTCATAATAATATTGATAATAGGCCTACATTTTGTTGTTTCCAATGCCTTTGTAATTTTCTGTGGAAATATATAATTCATGTACAACATTATACCAAATAAAAATTATTTTGGATATTGTTGAAGTATTAAATTACAACAGTACATACAGTACATATCCAGAGATTTTAACTAAACCAAAGGTAAATTGATTTTAATTTCATACACCAACAATTTCCCAAAATCAATTAGTTAATGATTAATGAAAACAATGAAATGAAATTGGCAATAGAATAAACATACAGTTAGGAGGGTGTGTGAAGCTAAACACACATGACCTACTGTAACCGGGTTCATCAAAATACTGAGAATAATTGATGTAACAGTTTAATCCACTATCAATGTTTTCACACCATATTTAATGATCCATTTATCTAAACATCAAAGATGATCATTTGAAACCATGATGTTTTATAACATGTGCTTTGGGAGTTTGTGTTTGTGATAAAAACATATGAACTCTGGTTTTTGAAGGCAGACTAATTTTTTTCGTACACAAATGGAAGAACTGTTTTGCACTTCTGGTTTTTCTTGTAAATATCATAGCATACACTTTGTTATCTACCAAACTCTGATAGATAGAAACAATTAAAATTATGAATTATTAATTATAGTGACTCCATTATAAGCAGACCATTTGGAAAATAATATATATCGTGGTAATGTAATTAAACTGCAAATCTCATTAACTTAGAGTGGCTCCCTCATGAGAGGTTGTTATGTTAGCCATTATTTATCATACACAGCAGTACATTATTATACCTGTTAGAAAGTGCAGCATTATGTTTTCACTATTAGACAATCAAAGAAGGATACCTCTGAAAGTAATATTTTATGGCCAAATTCAGCCAAAAATACATATAGTAATGTTGTTCTCATAACTTTTAATAATTTAAGGGGATAAACATGGGAACCCTCCTGAAACTTCTGTGAGGGCTATTAAAGTCATTAGAGTCATTATGTAAACAAGCACCATAATGCCTTTGTTTTGGTTGCAGTTAAGTTATCTGTGAAGCTAGCTTCTCGTAGTGTTCTGAGACAGACTATGAATAATTTAATTGTTATGTGAATATTATTTCTTAATTTTTTAAATTGAAAATCTAATATATGAATTAAAATGTACAAATTTAGCAATTGAATGTTGATGTATGTATATCATTAGCTCTCATTTAAAAATCAGAATATTATATAATTTTGACAGTTATTTTTTAAGTGACTACTAGATTGTTTGAATGTATAACCAATTTTATGTCGAATTGTTTTTATTGTTTATTTATATAATAATAATGGTAGAGATGTAATCCTTGCATGATAATCACATGTCTAGCATTAGTAATAGTGGATGTTATTAGAACACCTCTTTATAGGGTGTACGGTAAGAATGGCCCCGGAAAAAATGGCCCCGGAAAAAATGGCCCTGGTAAAAATGGCCCCAAATGAAAGGTGGGTAAAAATGGCCCCAATAATAAAATTCTGTATTAAAACGGATTTAAAAAAAAATCATTATATGCATTTTTTTAAATTGAAATAATTTAGTTTTTAAAAGGAATCTAACATCAAATAAATTGCCATTTACATTTTACTTTTTGCATAAATTACATATTCAATGGTAAAATATTCAAAGATAAAAAAAAAAATAAATAACACTTTTTATTTTTTTTTCATTTAAATGTTAAAAAATAGCAACAACATAATCAATGAATCAACATAAATCATGCATTTAATTATACTAAAATAATTTATTTGTGGCCAATTTCAAGGAAGCGGAATCACAATTTTCCAGAAATTCTATCTGGGTATTGGTAAACCCCACAAACAATGAGTTTATATGAACATCAAATTATTATTATTTTTTTTTTTTTAGAAAAAGAGAGTTCTACAATCGTAATTAAAGGGTTTGGATGGGGTTCGCAGTGTGTTTGGAGGATTGAAAACTTATTTCAACTATCAAAAAATGTTCAATGGCCGTTGTTTTCTGATAATCTCTCAGTACATTATTTGCATCTGTTGTGTGACTGTATTTTTATTGATTCAATTCTTGCTTATTACAGTATTTAAATATTTGAAGATTAAAAAAAAAATATCATTTCTATTACTGAATATTTTCATTGGGGCCATTTTTACCTACTTGTCATTTGGGGCCATTTTTACCGGGGCCATTTTTTCCGGGAACATTTTTTTCTGGGCCATTTTTTCCGGGGCCATTCTTGCCTACATTCCTTTATAGATGCAATGTGATCACAAGTGCTTTTCCAGAGTACCTCATAAAAAATTATCAAACTAACAAGAAAATATTATTATCGTGAAATGTATTAATGTTTGTTATTGTAATTGTTACAGTGTAATATAGTAATCTAATAATAATAATTAATTTGAATATGCACTTTTGAAACAGTGGCACACATTCGCTATGGGCGGTGAATCCTAAATAATTATATACATCTTCTGCAGCCCATTCATAGCACAATTACTACTACTAAAAAATGCATGATTAATGGGATCACTAGCTATATGGTACGATCATTAAATAGCTGATTCCCATACTTTGACTTCTGGCATTTTATTTGATGATAGGCCTCTCTCTATTTTTATACTTTTATATATTGGTATAT